CCACTAGTCCACAAATGAACCGGAGGGAAGAATGCCTAACAATAACGCGGGAATTGAGGCCCTATATAAGGTTGGCCTTCCACCTGTGACTTTGAATCACAAACAGTCCGATCGCCTCACTGCTGTTCTGGTGGTCTCGACAACTGGACTGTATTACGGTAGGTGGCCCACCTTTGGATTGCGTGATGAGTTGTTTTGGTCTCGAACTTCAGTAGGGTTGCTGAGGCATTTGGTCGGGTAGTCATAAATTGTTTCGACCCTTTCAGGCTCTGAAGAAGGCGATCCTCGCCGAAACGTAAGCCAAATAAAAGTTGTTTGCCAACCTCGTGAGGAGCTTCAAAGAAGATATCAACAACCTACCGGAAGAGACGCAAAGGATCGGTGCAGTGACCGTTTCGCATGGCCGCTTCATAGGACCTATGGAAGGATGATGGGTCCTGTGACGAAACCGGGGATATATCCCCAAGTTGGGGATATATCCCCAAGCTTGGGGAGAGGGGATGAGTCCCCATCCCCTCGTTGGGGCTTGCTACACCCGACCCCAGAAGGAGGCTTCCAGCGACTTTGAAATTCTGTCTTTTTTCGTGCTTTCATGAAAGTTGTAGCGGAAACATTAGGCTCCTCTTTGATTATCCTTTTACGGAATCCCGACTAAAGAAGTGAGGCGTCAATCCAGTTTTGGTGCTTCGCTTCAAAAATGTTATCTGATGTGATCATATTGGCAGTTTAGTCAGATGGTGTACAACGAAATGTTGTAACGCTCTCCTTTTTTCATAGTCGATAGTTTCGTACAGGGGTTTTGTTGATTCTTGATTGTTTTCAGAGCAGCCACTTGATCTTTCCCAAATTAGATCTCAACTTTGGGCCAAGGAGTCTCAGATTGCTGCAATGAGATCAAAAATTTCGGTCAGTTCTCTCTTTTGAGAAAGGTCAACCATGTTTATCATCTCTGAAGTTCCTTATCTAGTAGTTGAGGACTATGAGGAGAGCTGTTTGGATTTGTCTCATGTATCCTTGTTTAAGGAACTGGAAAGGAAACTAACGAAGCGAAGTGACGAGTTTTACGAGCTGATGGCCGAAAAGGATATGATCGCTCAGCGATTAGCGCAGCAAACAAATGCTGATAGTGTCGAAGAACTCAAGCTTGCCCGGTATTTTGGTTTTTTGTTTGAATTTGGACACAACATGGCTGTGCTTGATCTTGGTAATCGCGCGCGCGATCCATCTCCATTCTCTGATATGAGTTCAGGAACTGTGCTTTCATAATCGCTAACTTCCGTCATGGAACACTATGCCATTGTTCTCGTAAAGGGATGCGAGATACCGAAGAAAAGTAGAGCATATAGAGAGGAAGTCAATTAACCTCTCAGTCGCCATGAGAGCAACACCCCGGCAAAAGTCGTCTCGAAAAATCTATCCATTGTGTGGAATTCTTCACGGAAAATTCTTGCATTCTTTCTTGACATGAATGTGTCAGTTGTGATCACTGGAAACAGCACACAAAGTTTCACGCATGAAGATTCGGTTTCCGAAGAGAAACAAACGTACAAAAACTACACTCTATGGACAATCGAAGGTAATTCGGGCGGAGCCAAAGGCGGGGCATGGAAAGAAGTTGGCCTTTGGCCGGCTACGTATCAGGAGCCCCCAGACAATACCTAACGGGAGGCGGTCATATGGCGCGGTCACATTGCCATTGGGGCGCATGGGCTGTAGTTGCCACCCAGGCGCCGCCCATATCTCGGCCAAATAACTCGTCCGGATCACCGAACGAATAGATTATCGTGGTTGATCGGTCTGCAATAGAGCGCGCCAGAGTAGACTGGACTGCAGAGCCTCCCAAGTTCACCATTCTCGACCCATCTTCCGGCTTCATTCTTGCGCTGAGTTCGCACTGCACACTTCAACTATTAGAATGACTGTAGAGTTACTTCGAAGTGATTGTATCACGATCATTTTGGAACTGTGATACATTGCACTTTCCAGCAACTTACAGTGGATGACAACAATTACTATACGTGGTAAGTATTGTTAAGTCTTTTTCTGTTCAGGGAACAGTATTGGAAAGTCTATTGCTTTGACTAAACTAGGCGCTTTTTTAGGAACCATTCTTGAAACCTATTCACAATGGCCTTTTTGTGTACGAACCATCTAAACCTAAACAGTACTACGGTTGATCAGCTCACTTGGAGTCTTCAGCTGCAGTTTTATTATTTCTCATCCCTTTTTGTTATTTTGCCATCACCTGCGATCCCACTTCACTAACTTGTTCGGTGTAATATTCTCGAATTCACCCCTCTTTGAGTTCTTTGGTGAATTTCTATGTCCTGCCTCACCTTTTGAGAATGACACTCATCAGTAATTATTACTAGAGGAGACAATAAAACGTGCAATGTTGCACATGATATGCCTAAGGGACTCGCAAGGACACAGAGATTGGGATGAGATATGCTTTTGGCAAAGTAGAACTGAATCACAAGTGTAGAAAACAGGGATCTCATTACCCCAACAAGGGGATCGCTCAGTGGTATGGGATTTGATTGATGAGAGAACATCAAAGATAACACATTCAAGTGACAGAAGACGAATAACTCGGTTAGGAGAGTCCAATCAGATTAGAAAAACGAGCTGCTGTTGTCTCGAACGCTTTGGGTCTTTTCCAACAGGGGCATGTGGTGCGGTTTTTGTACTGCGTACAGTGCAAGGGGAAACCCTCAAGGTGCGTGGGTCATTTCTCTTCCATTTTAACATCCCAGAGCTCCTCACCCTGCAAAATTTCTGTGTGGTCAGAATAGCACGTCGACATAATTTTCCCTTTCTTTCACGCATAGTTAGACAAAATCTATAACGGCATCCTTATCTTAGAAAGCTATAAGAAATAAACCAGCAAAACTGCTTAAATAATATCATATTCATGCACGGTGA